CAAATAATTTTATTTCCTATATGAAAATTTATTTAATTTTTTTTGTATTTTATTGTGTTGCTAGAAATTCTTTCATTATATAATTTTGTTTTTTCCTGACTTTATCTATTAAGAATTAAGTTACATGATATTATGTATTGCATGATTTCTTTATACATTATAATTCATTTTTTTAAAAAAAAAATCTTTTTCTTCAATGATATTTTTACTAACTTTTTTATTTTTTATTTTTTATTTCTTTTATAGTTCAAATAATGTCATTATTAAGCTGTGATTATATATGAAATAATTCTCTTACATATAAAAAATTGAGTTTTACCTTGAAAATTGAAATATCAACGTGATAATTTGAATTTTATTTTTATTTCAAATATGTTTTTCGAGAGTTTTTTTATTGATTAAACATTTTTATTTTTGTTGTGTTGGTTTGTTAGCATTTTAATATTAATATTTTATTATATTAATTTGCACCTTTGTCCGTTTGGCAGTATCTATACTTACTATGTGAGGTGAGCATGTAGCATGCATTTTAAGAGTTACAATCCTCACTCTTAATGTGACATTTCATCTACAGTCAGTTAGGCTTTATTGCCATTCTTCATTAGTGATAAATGTTGTAGAGAACGTTGGGAAGTTATGGTCTTTGTGCAGCATCTTCCTTTTGTCCGTTGAGTCTTTGCACGTTGGTGGCCCTTAGTTGCCCATTTTACTTCACTATTTATTCCCCATTATTCTTTGTAACATATGTAACTCCTAAGACCATTATCTTCACTATTTACTATCACATTATCTCCCTATTCATTGCTAGGAAGACTTCTTGTAGTATTAATAGTGGTGGTCTTCATTTGGTTGGGTGATACAAGAAAAATATAGAGTGAAAGAGTTAGTCAAAAAGAGAGTTCTTATTAATTGAAGGGAGGTGTTCTTTTTGTGGAGCTTTGGACTCAACTCTTGTCCAGAGTTGTTGAGTTATACTTTGTGCTAAGGCTGTTGTATCCTAGAGGGGACAAGTCAAGAAGGACTATTGTTGGACCGGTGAAAACATTTGCCGCAGTGGGATTGAATCTCCTTAAAGAGAGCGAGATATCCGCGCCTTAGCCTGAAGAGATTTATTTCTTTATTTTTATTTTCAATTGTAATTTTATATTTTTTATTAATTTGTAAGATTTTCACTAACATGTTGTTATATAGTACGATTTCGATTACATGAGGTTATTCATATAGAATGATTTTTTTGATATTTCAAAATACTTTCTCATCTCAAATTTAAATGTTTATACTTTAACATTGAAATTATGTATTTATATGTTTTTTTATTTTCTTGTTCATATCTATTGTTATTGTGCTAACCATTTGTCATGTGTTCATTTTTTTTAAAAAAATTCACTGTCCTTCTCTATTACTCATCTTCTAATATTATGTAGATAAATATATAACTTCTCACTTTCAAACTTATACGAAATTCTTATTATGCTTTTATTTTATTAATCAAAATTCTTTCATTATTTAAATTTAACAAATGTTATCAATTACTATATGAAATATAATCTCATCCAAATTAGAAAGTGCATGTAGCATATTAGCTTTTATAATTAATATTTAATAACTTTTTAGCATAACTTTTATATCAACGAAGGATGGAGAATGAGGAAATTGCATTTTTTTTAAAATAAAATAAAAATAAAAAAAGTAAAAATTTATATCAATAATTACCCAAGGTATGACGACATCTTCATTTCTAAATTATCTCAAGTCTTTCATCTTCTCCAACAATACTCATATTGATTTTATTCTTTCAAAATGAAACACCTATTGAATCGTTAAAAGAATATGAAAACAACATAAATAAGGAACGCCAACCAAATTTAAATGGTAATTGAGTTTAGTATGTATATTCATCTAATAATCTAATAAATCACTTAAAAAGAGACCATTTTAATTTAGCATAAAAATGAACAGAAAAAGGCTAAATTATGAAAAAAAGAAATATTAGATGTCATGCAAAGTATTAAATCGACGAAACAATTATCACAACAATAATTCATGTACCAACAATATTAAAAGGTGGCGTACATGGTCCACTACCATAAAATTCTTCAGAATTCCTCCATTTCTTTATCATTAGTTTCTTCTTTTTCCTCGTTGCACCGGAGAGAATGATGGTCCTTCGCCTTCAACCATAATCAAATAATTTAACATAAAATAATTAAGAAAGAGGGCATGCAATTAAGAAAGAAGACATACATACATACATACAATACACTACTATATTTCCACTCAATTTTCTTTTTTGAATGTGGTTTTTGTTACACATTTTTGAATTTATATTTTGAAGAGTTGGTTTAAGAAGATGTGGATGATAATGTAGTTAAGAGTAATATTTTTTTCACAGATATGGCTTATGAAGGTTAATTGTTTTTTAGGGATAAGGTTAATTATTATTTGAAATTTAAATTTTAAATTAATTATTTAGTATTTTGTGATGGCTAGAGCTTTCTTTTTATCTATAAAGAACGTGGTTCTGCATCTTCTTCTTCTTTTTTTTTTTTTAATTTTTATGACTGGAAGATTTTTTTATATATTATTTAATAAGGCATGTGATCGAGATGAAATTTTAAATATTAAAAAAGGAACAAATCTATCTCTTTTTCCCTATGAAGATCAACTGTTTTTAATTAATTTCTTACCAATCTATTTTTAATATTATAAAATTATGTGTATTAATTAAAAAAAAAATTACAGTTACATCACCATAATTTTTAAAATTGTTTTAAAATTATTTTCATTTAATTAAAAAATGTGTTTTTGTGGTGCTGACATGTGACACTTTTTCCTCTCTTATTATATATAGATAGAAGATAGATTTGAAGGGCAAAGTGGCTAATCATGAAATTTATATGTAAATTGAGTCAATCTAACAATGAAGTTAAAATATAGGCTCAATTTAAGTAGGCATTTGACTATATATCGTAAAAATAAAAAGATTTTTTTTTTCTCAAAGTGAAAAATACTACTTAAAAATTGGGAGTTGCCTTCGAAGAAAATGAAAAAAATTTCATGGGCAAACGAGCCCTGAGGCTATGAGAAAGTTTTCATCATATTGTAATTCTGCCTCGAGCATTACAGAAGAATAGTTTTTTTCAGTACTAGAAAGAGAAATAGATGAACGCAGATAAAATGACCATTTGTTTCTGATTATAAGTCAATTCATACTATTTGAGTTGGTGCTCTTTTCTCAACAACCCAATTTCCTCAAATCAACATAATGTACCTGTTGCAAGATACTATGGCAACAAGAATGAATCCATGCATAAATATAGTACAATACGATATATTATAAAACAATACGTAACAACCATTCAAACTAGTCGCAAGGTAAAAGAAAATTTGTAAGGCATAAATAAGTTATGTCCTAGGCTTAAGTTATGCCTCAAGGCAAAATAAACTAAGCCATGACACAAGTTATGTCCTAGAGAATAAGTGTAGTGACACAAATTATACCTGAAGGCAAAACAAATTAAGTACAAGGCATAAGTTTAGTGACCCGAGTATGTCCCAAAGTAGAAGTTCAGTGGCTCAAGTTATGCCACAAGGCAGCTTAACTTCTGTAAATAAAAGTTCTCTATAAGTCTTGTCCGGTAAATTAGAAATTATGCGTGAAGGCATCTAAAAAATTTTGCTTGCAAAGTTAGTTGTGCCCAACAAACTTAGTTCATAGTTAAAGAATACTTTGGCCCGAGAATTTTCATTAAATAAGCACAAAAATTAAACTCCACACGAAATACGGACAGTGTGCAAAAACTTGCATTTTAACTCATTTCAGCCCAAATAACTTTTCTCCCATTTTGAGCCACCCAAATTCAGTCCAATGTGCACAACGAGGGCTGGGCATAAAATATTGAAAACCGAATACCGAATCGAATAGAATTTTTTGGTGATTTGGTATTCGGTATTGGTATGGTATACAAGAGTAAAATTTTAGAATTGCGATATTCAGATTTAGATTTAGTATGAGACATTAGTACTATTTGTTATTCGGTATTTTCCGAATACCAAATTATTTAGTCCATGAAAGTCATATATCAGCAGGTCTATTACTCATTAGTACAAGTCCAAATAGAAAGTTAAAGAGTAAACATAACCAACTCAAATACATATGTCTTTCAGTTGTGTCAATTTATTTTTCTTATTTGATGATCTTCTATTATATCGCGTCTCCACATAGAAAAATGAAAATAATTGAAGCAATAGTATTAACTTTGTAATATAAATACCGTATCATACCGAAGTTTAATTTACTGATTACTGAACCGAAATTTTAAATTTTAATATTTGATATCTACTTTTAACTATTAACTGAAAACTTCAAACGAAACCCCGAACGTCCACCCCTTTGCCCAACTCATCGTGCCAACTAAGAGAGATATAACGTATGTTTATAGAAGACGAGAAACACTTACAAATTATGGTATGCGGTGCAATGGAACCAAAATTGGTGACAACATAGACCGATCGACAGAAAATGATGGAAAATTGTAAAGTGTCCCTTGTGCCCTATGACAACTATATACCTTAATAATATGCCAAAAATATAACACATGATCAATGTTGATGATGATAACAAGGGTGGGTCAAGGACAAACATATATAAAAGAATCCATATGTGTGTGACAGAGACGTGAAAGAGCGGCACAAAACAGTTGGAAATAACGACATAACTTTTCCATCGTAGACCGATCGTATGCTTATATGTACTTGGACAATTACCGTAATATCAGAGTCAAGTTTATTCATACTCCAATTGGACCTGAGCGTGAAGGGGATTGTTAGAGTAGATTAGAATCCCACGTGACTTGGGAATGGACGATTGGTCTGCTTATATGGACTTTTTCAATGTTTTAAGCACATTCCTAAAAAAATGTACCAGAATGAATTTTTGGATAATTTTCATTTCATACAGAGAGCAGAAGCAGTAGAAAACAAAAGAAGTAAAAGGAAAGGTGGGATCATCTAGCTAGAAACTGTTTTCTGTTCAATTTGGTTTATGTAATAAATATTCATATATATATATAACCATCAGAGCTAATATTTGTTTAAAGATTGAATTTTGAGTCAAATCTTGAATTATCATTTGAGGCCAAGACTGGTTCCATGGAGGTCAATGCTGGACTAGTTGCAGGCAGTCACAACCGGGATGAAATAGTTGTTATTCGCCGTGATGGTGAATTCACTGTAAGTAATCATTTGTGTAGTTCTTGTTGTAGTGATATGAATATGAATATGATTATGGTTGATTAATAATGTTGATTTATGGTCATCAGGCAAACTCTATGCAGCAGCAGAGTGGTCATATTTGCAAAATTTGTGGAGATGAAGTGGGGTTCACAATAGATGGAGAGCCATTTATAGCTTGCAATGAATGTGCTTTTCCAGTTTGCAGAACTTGTTATGATTATGAGCGTCGAGAAGGTAGCCAACTTTGTCCTCAGTGCAAAACTCGTTTCAAACGCCTAAAAGGTAATGTGTCATTTTAAGTTTCTTCCTGTGAAATGTTATTTGGTACTGTGTACATATATATTTCTAATTCTTGGAACATTTTTATAGGTTGTCCTAGAGTACATGGTGATGAGGAAGAAGATAACATTGATGATGTTGAAAATGAGTTCAATTTTGCAAATGATCGCGTAAAACATGATTTCCAGTGTTATGGTTTTGATTACTTTGAGCAACACATGCCTTCTCGTGACTCGAGACATCAACTTCCACAAGTTCCTCTGCCCAGTGTTATGCATATGCATTATCATGTAATGGTTCTTTAGCTATGATAATGTATTGATGAACAAGACTAAGATAACATATATACATTGCTTTGCAGGTAGATACTGATATCGATCCAGATAAACATGCATTAGTACCAATTGGTTCAGCAGGGTACGGTGGCAAAGGGGTACTTGCCCTTCCCTACCACTACAACACCAGAGGTAATACACTATAATAAGACATTGAATGCAAACTCGGAATATATACTATTTGCAGGGATATTGATGAATTCTTGAATTTTTGTTTCTGCAGTGCCACCAAGGTCTCTGGATCCTTCAAAGGACTTAGCTGTTTATGGCTATGGAAGTATAGCTTGGAAGGAGAGGATGGAAAGTTGGAAGCAAAAGCAAGAGAAGCAACAGATGAAGAAAGACGGAGAGGATGGCGAAGATGAATTTGATTTATCAGTGTTAGTTTTGCAGAAGCCAACATCTCTTAACTTGTTGAAAATTGTATTATGTGCATTTTAGTTTCCATAATATAATATTTATAACATGAATAGATAAAGTCAACTTCCAGTTAATTTTTTTATGCAACTCCCAACTCCCAAGTCATTTCCAGATTTTGATTAATATGGAAGCAGTTAGCAGCTAGTACTATTTAATGTGTTAGTGAAAATGTTGCTGCATCTTCTATGTATTTGATGTGACAGATAGAGATCCAAACATTTATGGAATTGTCATATTGCTGATTTTTGTATTACTGTTTGTGAAATCAGGTTAAATGAAGCAAGACAACCATTATCCAGGAGATTGCCAATTCCATCTAGTCAAATCAATCCGTATAGAATCATCATCATGATTCGGCTTGTTGTTCTTGGATTTTTCTTTCATTATAGAGTCACTCATCCTGTTAACGATGCGTATGGATTGTGGCTAGTCTCTGTAATATGTGAAATTTGGTTTGCTGTCTCATGGATTCTTGATCAATTCCCTAAGTGGCTTCCCATTGACAGGGAAACTTACCTCGATCGATTGTCCCTCAGGTACTGTGCTTAGTCAATTTTACTCCTCTATCATGTTCACATTCTCTTTGTTAATCAAGACTCAAGAGTAATTTATGTCTTTTAGATATGAAAAAGAAGGTCAGCCTTGTCAACTTTCTGCAGTGGATATATTTGTGAGTACAGTAGATCCACTTAAGGAACCTCCTCTGGTGACTGCAAACACGGTTTTGTCCATTCTAGCAGTGGACTACCCTGTCAATAAGGTGGCATGCTATGTATCAGATGATGGGGCTGCTATGTTGACCTTTGAAGCATTATCAGAAACAACTGAGTTTGCCAAGAAATGGATTCCTTTCTGCAAGAAATATAATATTGAGCCTCGCGCTCCTGAGTCCTACTTTTCTCAGAATATGGACTATCTCCAAGGCAAGGTTTTGACTTCATTTATAAAAGAGCGACGAGCAATGAAGGTAAGCTATCATGAGTCATGACTCCCCAGATATTTCCAGGACCTTAAGTAAAAAAATACTGTCTTTTAGTTTCTTTTGAATAGAGTTTACCTGATATTGCAGAGAGATTATGAGGAATTTAAAGTACGCATAAATGCTCTGGTTGCTAAGGTGCAAAAGGTTCCCGAGGGAGGTTGGACGATGCAGGATGGGACTCCTTGGCCTGGGAATAATATTAGAGATCATCCTGGCATGATTCAGGTGCTGAAATTTGGATGTCATTATTAATATTGGCTATTTTGTTCATTCTAGCTGTAGTAATTTCTTCTTATGGTTATCATTTCCAGGTCTTCCTAGGCCAGAATGGGGGGCTAGATACTGATGGTAATGAATTACCTCGACTAGTATACGTATCTAGAGAAAAAAGACCTGGATTCAACCATCACAAGAAGGCTGGTGCAATGAATGCTCTGGTTTGTAATGCATAAAGTTTTTACTTTTGCTCTATAGATACGCGATATTTCTGCTTATGAGCTTAAAATCTATTTGACAGGTCAGGGTGTCTGCTGTGCTCACTAATGCTCCTTATTTATTAAATTTGGACTGTGATCACTATATTAACAACAGCAAAGCTATTAGGGAAGCTATGTGTTTCATGATGGATCCAACGCTTGGGAAGACAGTTTGTTATGTTCAGTTCCCTCAGAGATTTGATGGCATTGATAGGAATGATCGGTATGCTAATAGGAATACGGTGTTCTTTGATGTAAGTGCATACTTGTACAATCAATAACTACATATCTGCTTAACATTTCTTCGTACTTGAGTGAAGAGTATAATTGCTTTTACATGAATCAGATTAATATGAAAGGATTGGATGGTATTCAAGGACCTATATACGTTGGAACTGGATGTGTGTTCAGACGCCAGGCACTGTATGGACTCGATGCACCCAAGCAGAAGAATGCTCCATCTAGGATATGCAGTTGCTGGTTAAAGTGGTGCTGCTGTCAAAGCTGTTGCTCCGGAAAGAAAAAGAAAAATAAGAAGCCTAAATCTGAGGTCAAGCCTCTTTTAAATGACGAAGACTCCCTGGCATTAACGGTCTCTCAAGAGGTCACACAAGGTAAACTGATTCAGACATCCTTCTGCATACTGTGCTAGTACCATTTAATTGAAGTTCCTCACTAGCCAGTTCAATTGTTTTATGTCAATGTGGCTTGAGCAGGTGAAAATCGAGCTCTTATTTCTGACCACAAGTTAGAAACTAAATTCGGGCAATCTCCTGTTTTTATTGTATCAACACTGCTAGAAAATGGTGGGACTCTTAAAAGTGCTAGTACAGCTTCTCTACTAAAAGAGTCCATTTATGTAATAAGCTGTTGCTATGAAGATGAAACAGAATGGGGAAAAGAGGTACTAATTCTGATCCATCTCGCTTTCTAATCGTGTTCAAAATGTACTGATTGTTCAATCTAACTACTTTGAAAATGCAGATTGGCTGGATATATGGTTCAGTCACTGAGGACATATTAACAGGCTTCAAAATGCACTGTCATGGCTGGAGATCCATATATTGTATGCCTAAAAGGCCCGCATTTAAAGGATCAGCACCGATCAATCTATCAGACCGTCTTCACCAGGTCCTTCGATGGGCACTTGGTTCTATTGAAATCTTCTTTAGCAGGCATTGTCCTCTCTGGTATGGATATGGTCGTGGTCTCAATTGGCTCGAACGTTTCTCATACATAAACGCCACCATTTATCCATTCACGTCTATTCCCCTTGTCGCTTATTGCACTCTACCTGCTGTATGCTTGCTCACAGGAAATTTCATTGCACCTAAGGTAAAATCCTTATATTTCCATTGATCAAGTTATATTGAACTCATCAAGAAAGATAATTCATTCTGTTAAATGTTGCAGCTTGACAATATTGCTAGCTTGTGGTTTTTGTTACTTTTCATTAGTATTTTTGCAACAAGCATTCTTGAAATGAGATGGAGTGGAGTAGCGATAGATGAATGGTGGAGGAACGAACAATTTTGGGTGATCGGAGGTGTTTCAGCACATCTATTTGCTGTGTTCCAAGGTTTACTAAAAGTGTTAGCTGGTGTGGAAACAAACTTCACAGTAACATCAAAATCCGGAGACGATGAAGAATATGCAGAGCTTTATGCATTCAAATGGACAACTCTACTCATTCCACCAACCACATTGTTAGTCATAAACATTATAGGAGTTGTTGCTGGTATCTCCAATGCTATAAACAACGGGTACGAGTCATGGGGACCGTTGTTTGGGAAGCTGTTTTTTGCAATCTGGGTGATTCTTCATCTCTATCCATTCTTGAAAGGACTTGTTGGTAGAAACAATAGAACTCCTACAATCATCATTGTCTGGTCAATCTTACTTGCTTCCATATTTTCACTTTTGTGGATTAGGATTGATCCATTTTTGGCGAAAACAGACGGTCCACTTCTTGAAGAGTGTGGATTGGACTGTAACTAGTTTGTGAGTATAGTAGATCCACTTCTTGTTGCTTTGGCTATTTGGTTTTTCTTTGGGATTCTGTTTCATTAAACTTTTGTACAATCCATTGAGCTATATGTATGTCAATAGAACTCCAGCAAATGATCTTTTTTTGCACAACACATAATGAAGGCACTACTACATGGTCTATCATCGCTCACTATTATCAACTACTATCATCGTGATCGCCTACCATTATCAGCTATCACCCGATGCCATTACTACAATAAACCGTCACCACCACTGGTCACCATTACAATTATCACCACCATTAACACAATAACCATCAATCACTATCGATCATCATTATCATGGTCTTCACTATATATTGCCAAACACCATTATCATTTACTACACCATTAGTTATTCATATTATCCACCACAAGTATCAAACTTCAGAACCATCGATCACTTCCATCAGCGACCATATTAATACCACTAGCTATTACCTACAACACCTGTTAACTTAGGAAAAAATCATGTGTATATATGTATATCTATTTTGAGAATTAGACAGAAACTAGGATATAATTAATTGTGTTCCCATGAGGAACATATGAGTGTTCTTGTGCCATTGGGACAAGGCCTCGGAGCTGCTTGTGAGACCAGGGTTCAAATCTAGCTAGAGCACTATTTCATTATTTTTATTTTATGTTTTACTTAGAAACTAAATATTGGTGCACTCGAAGTCTTCAAATCATGGGCTACGCAACAACCACCGTCACTAGCTATCAACATCACCAACCACCACATAATTTTTAAAAAATATGTTGTTGATATAATTAGATTAATCTAGAATTTTATTAAACTTTTTATTTATTAATTTTTAAATAAAGACAACAAAAAAAACTATACTTACAAGTTACAAATGTTGAAAAACAAATAACATAATTATTTAGTATATTCAAATTCAAACATTTAAATCTTAATGCATATTTTAATATTCAATATTTTAATTTTAATAAAAGCAAATAAGTCCTTACATAATTACTGAACAGACAAGTTCCAATATATGACCATGGAAGTGTCAAGTTCTAATCAATAATTGAGATTAACATATTCCAAAGATAAGATTTGTTGTCGTCACATACCAAGACAATGAATTAAGCCCTTAATTGCTAATTTACTATACGTGGAGCAGTGCTTCCATTAGTTTTTTTTTTCCCCATGATGATCACTAATTAAACTGTATTTATTATCAGACAAGTGTAACTTTAATAACTGACCAAATTGGATTCCAAGGTATATAGTATAGATTAGCCTTTTTGAAGGCATAATTACTTTGCCAATTAATTCCTATCCCATGTTAGTGCCAAACATATATCACTATCAACTACCAACAATTTCAATTGGCAATTGCAACATTTAATTTATTGATTTGTATTCATCATTAGTTATATATGATGCTCTTAAAAATGAGCATAAACGATCCATTAAATTATATAATCTCCTTTTACTGCTCATAGGAATGTATATAATTAAAGTCACTTTGTAGTGATCAAAGAAGTAAAAAATAAATAAAGAGAAAATGACAAATATTGCCCTTTCTATATGTTTGGAAGTAGATTCAAAATAATCTCTTAAATATGCACTAAATTGTTTTGGACCCATGAGTTCATCAAAAAATAATATTATTAGTCTCCGTCAAATAAGGATGTGCATAGGTTGGTTCGATTCGATTTTATGTACTATTGATTTGGTTTTCAAATTTTAAATAAGTCAAACTAATAATCAAATCAATAAGATTTTTTCTTATCGATTTTTGATTTATCGACTATTAATCCTTAATGGTTCGATTTCGGGTTAACTAATAAGAAAATGTTCATAAAACAAATATATGACTTCTCCAACAATTTGGCACGACAGAACAATAATGTACCTTACGTAATGCTCATAAAATAGCAACAATAAATAACTAACATGAAAAAAAACTTGTACAAGTGCAACACAAATGAAAGATTTAGGATGAATTGAAGACTAAAAAGTAAAGATAGTAACCAATAAGGTACTGATATTGATACTTAATACATGTAGGGGTAAAGAAGTAAATTACTATAGTCTTAATGGGTTATCTATTTACCCATAACCCAATATTAAAAAATCAAAACCAAACCGATAATCCAATATTTTTTTTTATATATAAAACCATTAAAAATACGTTAACTAATAACCCAATAACAATAAATCAAGGGAAAAGGGTTTGATATAATCCTCAACTTTGTCATTTAGAGATGATATACCCCTCGTTATGAAAGCGGCTCATATATACCCCTACTATTATACAAATGGCTCACATATACCCTTTTCCTCTGACGGAAATGAAAAAATTAATTTTAATTTAATTTTTTAATTATTATTTTTTTTTAAAAATAATCCCATATGGGCATATTTAATCATCCTCAAACATATTTTTTTTTTTACTTCTTTTTGTTTCAATGACTAATATAGATTTATTATTTTGATGGTCAAATTTATTTATGTTTCACTAAAATTCTTGTAAATTTATTATAGATGACCCAAAAAAAAATTCCAAGTACAAAACTTAAATTACAATATAGCCGAAAAAATAGTTTTAAATCATAATATAGCCACAAAAAAATAGTTTTAAGTTTTTTTTTATATTAAGGAATGAAAGAAAAAAATAAAATAAGAATAAGAAACTCAAATAATGATAATCTAAGAAGTCAAAAAATAATTTATGTGTGAAAAAGATTAAAATACACCTTGAACTTTGCTAGAAGGATCATATAAACCCCTAAATGATTTTTAAAAAAATTAAAAGTTAAATATATAAATTTAAAACTAATATTTTCACTCCCGTTAAATGAAGGGTATATGTGAGCTCATTTTGTAACGGTAGGGGTATATGCAGGACCGTCTTAACCCCTAGGCCACTAAAGTCATCGCCTGGAGCCCCATATTTTTGGGGGGCCCATTTTTTAAAAACAATTACTTCTATGTTATTTTAAAAAATAAATAATAAATAAATAAATAAATATATATATATATATATATATATATATATATATGTACTATGAGTGCTATGATTTCTATTAAGGAAATTGCATATGAGATGAAAATGAACTTGAATTTCGTAAGAAACAACTTAATGAAAATATGGATTACAAAACCACAAAGTCCCTTGAAGAATCTTTTAGAATTGATTACTTTACATATGTAGAGTAGATCAAACTATTTTTTCACTTCAAAATAGATTTGAACCAATTGAAGCATATGAAAATATTTTTGATTTCTTGTTTAGTGGTAAAATATTGAGATCACTAGATAATGAGAATTTTAAAAAATGTTGTGTTAACCTTGAACTTTCTTTAACACGTAATAGTTATTCTAATATTTGATGATTTAGATTTATTTTTTGAATTAAAAGTATTAAGAGATATGATACACGTAGAAGATAGTCATCTAATGAAAATACCCAATCAAATAAAAAGACTTGATTCTTTTCCAAATACACATATTGCTTATAGAATAATGTTAACAGTTCTTGTAACCTTTGCCTCAGCCGGAGGAAGTTTTTTTAAATTAAATTTGATTAAATCTTCTTTAAGATCAACGATGTCTCAAGAGAAATTGAATGAATTAGCTATATTATCATTTGAAAAGAAATTATTAAAACAAATTGATTATAAAATAGTACTTAATGACTTCGCATCTAAAATAGCTAGAAAAGTAGATTTTAAATAAAAATACATATGATGAAAAACAAAATGTTAGGGGCCCTCTCTTAAGTTTCGCTTTACGCCCCTAATGTTGTTGAGTCGGCCCTGAGTATATGTGAACCGTTTGTATAACGGTAAGGGTATATATGAGCTACTTTCATAACGAGGGGCATATCAGCTCCAAATGACAAAGTTGAGGGGTATATTAGGCCTTTTTCCCATAAATCAATAACAATTTTTGCAGCTTAATTTATTGATCGGTTCAATTTTTGCACACCTCTATCGTCAAATATTTACAGAACTTTGTATGTTAGTAACACATAGAATCTTAATAGCTCATCGATTGATTGACTACATAAACAAGCGGTTGAAGAATTAATTTATATTCTTCCCCCAATGACTTCTTCAATTTTCAAAAACTTTCATAAATGTCCACTCTTAATTATCAATCATATCAATAGTTTAGTATATTAATTATCAATCATATCAATAGTTTAGTCTATTAATTTGCTTTGTATATAATGTGTTTGATTGCGCTATATCGATTTACTCTGTATTAGAATGAATTTATTTCAGATCATAAACTTTAAAAACTTATTTTCTTTTTTAAAATTTGTGTCAACTCAAACTAGATTAATTAAAGTGGAACAGAGAGAGTAACTTTTTAAGTGAAGAAACCAAAAGGAGGTGGATTTTTTTCCCCCCTAAAAGTTGTCCATCATAAAGTAAAAGAAGTTAAAAAAAAAAGTAGGGAGATGATGATTCATGAAATTAAGGAATTGCTTTCATGACGTAGTGCACTTTAATTATAAACTAGTGAATTAGTGGAATTTGCTCACGCAACTCCACTTTTCAACTAATTCATTCATCATCCTTCTATGATGCAGTCTCAATTAATTATCATATACTATATAGTTCTTGATATATATGCTGATGAAATGATGTAGGACTTGTTTCCAATAAGACCTAGATTTTCTTTTTGCTTATTAAGCCTAATCTTTTATTGATTATGACATGATCCAAACATCAATTTTGTGACACAAAACGTTAGTAAGAATGCTAAGTCACGTTTATGGTTCAAAGTCGAGAGATCAAAAGTCAGAACTATTTAATTTTTAAAGTAAAATTAATTCGGAAAAATGATTTCCACCCTAGAACGAATATATACGTATTAGAAGACATATGGTGTCGTCAATTTTAATTTAATTCCAAGTTAAAAAGGACTATAGGTCCAAAAAAAAAAAGTTAAAGTATGACTGAGTGTGAACTAGTGAGACCTTATTGACTTATAGTGAATCTAACATACATAATTTAATTAAAGTATAGCAGACGGCAGTGTGTCAGCAATTCACCGCACGAGCACATACACTTAACCATAACAGCCCCCCCACCTCCCCCCCCCCCCCTATTTTTTTACTGTATCTTTATTTTTTCTTATTGGCTTTTGGACCTTAGTGTATATGACAGACAGGTTTGAAATTGAGCTTCTACCTTGTGATGATGATTCGAAGGGTTATTCAAGTGGTAAAACATTTAATTTTAAATGTCCAGATACATATATCTAGAGATATATGAATTAAAATTAGGTATAATTTATTTTAGATATGTTATATCTAAGTGATTTTACATGCATCTGAGATACTAGACAAATCTCGTTCGCCTCTTTCATCTCCCTCCCATCTCACTCGCCACTCTCTTATGCATATGGTATCCCAGATACATACCGATACATGTCTCTAGTGTGATTCACATGTATCTAGAATACATGACTATCTTGCTCGTCACTCTCCTATGTATATGATGGTATTCCAAATACATGTGAATAACACCAGACACATACAAATACATGTATCCAGTGTATCGAGGATATATGACTATCTCGCTCGTCTTCATCCCTATTTTAGTTATCTGATAGCAATAATACATATATCTAAATGTATATTCGTCAAAATATGGAAGAAATTCTTAATTAATTGTAAAATATTTAATTATTTAAAAGTATAGATAAAATTAATATATGTGATATGAATGTATGTCTAATAAGATAATTTTCCCTTTAAAAATACCTTGAAATGACGAGATAAATTGTCACAATTATTTCCTTTTATTCCAATTTATTTGTCTGATTATTTTAACCTTATCGAACTCCGTTCCTCCCGTTTGTTTATCCGAGAGAGTTAGCACCAATGCTTTACTTCTTAAATATTCTTCTTTCAGAAAAAAGAAAGATTAAATTGTTGGTTCGTGTATAGTTCATTAATACTTATATACTTACTTTAATTATAAAAAGGTGTTTATGATATGGTCCCCTCAATTATTTACTGATTCTAATTTTTGTGATACCTTGCTCACCATCAGTCTTCCTGTGTCCTAGACAAAAAATTCAAAAATAAGTAAACATATAAATAACTAAAGTAATTAGTTTTCTTTCTTCTAGAAAATTATTTTTACACTAATTGAACTCCGTCATTTGTCTAACCAAGAGAGTTGGCACACTGCTTTGTGTATGGGTTAAAATTCAATTTTCAAGTTCAAACGTATCAAAATGTGACGTGTGACCATCAGAATCTAGTTAAAACTAACTCAGTGACGTTGAGATTGAGTGTGGCTTTGTGTAAGGTTAGATCTATTCTTTTGAAGTTTGAGACAAATCTAGTTCGAAGCAAGGAGATCAGAACAAAAAGTTTATTGATAGTCGATATAAATTCTCTAATGTAATGTTACATAACAATTCACAGGCCCTTTATTACTTTCTACAAATTCAATTGTTATCTCGAATCACCAATTTAGGGTTATAAAAACTTTGGTTGCTTGAATATATTTTTCGGGAAAAAAAAATGAAATTGAAGATTCTTGTATTGTTTATATACTTTTATGTTTTCAATATTAAAAGAAGACTATGATCTGGTCCCCTCAATTATTGACATATTCCAATTTTTAATAATAACTCGTTTATCATCCTCTTCTTTCCTTCCACAATGTACTAGACAATTCAAATTAAAAAAACAATACAAGAAATCCAAATTTAAAAAAATAATAAGAGAATTTATTTTAAACAAGCATACTACTTTTACGATGATTAAACTCCGTTATTTAGATAACCACACTACTTTTATGTATCATTTATGTTCTAGCTCCCTCGGTTATTGATAGATTCTAATTTCTCTCTTCTTGGATACAACAATTAATTACATATAAGCAAATTTTATCTCTTCCTTGTAAAAATAGAGAAATTGTTTATTTCTAACGACTCACAAAACATACCATAGCAAATTTGGAAAGAAAGTATATAAATAACAAGAAATTAAATAAGAAAAGAAAAAGGACCTTATAATACATTTTTATTATAATAATAATAAGGCAAAGAAATGACAATAATAAGGGTACCATTTTTATATTCCCAGCTGGCTTTACTTTAGATGGGGTTCTCATTGCTGGCCTGCCCCAATCAGAGGGACAACAGGTGTCACACCACTTACCAGGGAATCTCATAGTAAATAAAACACATGACCAAAACTATTTCCTTTTTTCCAAATTACATAAACCACAAAAAGAAAAATCATCACAACTCAATGTAATTTCATAAATAAAGTTAAAAAAATAATATATATATATATATTATATCTAATAAATCTTCGACTCGATAGAAAAATTACTCAGCTCAAAAAGAATCATGGTTCTTCTAAAACCTGCAATTTTTTTGAGATTTTCTACTAATAAAGCAATTGCATACATAATAATAGTAGTAGTAATTAAAATGGCTGCATACAAATTATTAACTGAAACCTTACAAAACTCAGCCTAGAAATTTTCATGTAGAGAGAGAAATATATTTATATAATCATCACATCATGCAGATCTTACTCTAACAACATGTATATACATACATATTATATAGCAGCTTTGATATGCATTTTTTGTGTGTGTGGGTAACGTACTAATTAACCACATCACGTTTGATTCGTGATCCATACATGGAGCCTACTAAAAATCTCCACTACCTAAACGGCGGCGACAGTCTCGCTTGTGGCGGAGACATCAGATCCCTTCCCGGCGGCAGCGACGGAGTTCGTCATATAGTCCTTCCTAGATGCAACCAACGAACACTTGTCCTTCTTCTCATCTAGATTCATTTGCTGCTGTCTACACTCTAGACTGCAAAAAGCACTATCTCCTCTGCAAATTCAACAATTCAAACAAATTAAGTAAAACAGTGCATATATATGTAAATTGACTCGAACAATAGGATTATAAGCAGATTAAAATTAGTACCTGTACATGTAGATATCGCGGCCAGGGATTAAGCGGCGTTTACAGAGGAAGCAAGCTTTCAAAAAATTAGAAGTTTCTAGAAAATCAGCAGATTTACGGCGGTTTCTGGCGGAAACGGTTTTAGGTGCGGTAAATAAACGTTGTTGATCTAGCTGTTGCTGAGTGTTTGCAGGTGAAATAGGATTGTGAGGATCGAATGGATTATTGTAATTAGTAAGAGAAGAATTAGGGTCAGGATTATGATTGAGATTGAGATCTAAAGTGAATTCTGTCATGCTGCTTGTTCTCTTCATGGGTGGCCGAGTCCTCTTCCCCAGCAACATTTTTTTCTTCTTCGATTTAGAGAGAGAAAGAGAAAAGAGGAAGAAGAAGAGTGAGAGTGGGGAAGATGTGTTGGGAAGATAAAGGCGAGAGCCAAAGCACAAGGACAGAATCTCCACCCTTGATTGTGTATTATTTCATCACATATTTTATAAAAATATCATTTTCTCAGATTCCATCTCGTTAAAACCTCTGGCTGTTTGATTAGAAACCAATTATGCTAAGATTATTAATTATGTTATTACTTGTCCATTTTGACAAATCAAGAAAGGACAATTTTTTTTTTACTATTATATCCTCAATTAAATGACTAATTATTTTGAAATATGTAAAAAATTTCATCCACTTCATAATTAATAGGAGTAAAATGGTAAATTTACTATATCATTAATTATTTTCTTAATAGGTGTACATATTTAAAAGTGGACAAGTAATTTGGGACACAAGGAAGGGAGTATATATGTGGGACTAATTAGTGTTTCTAAGTGACAAAGCAGTTTTTTAGAAAAGTTCTCAAAAGACTACTTTCAAATATTGGATAAACACAAATTTGTTTTGTGATATTGATTTAAAAAAATCAATTGATTAATCAAATATAAATACCTTATTTTATTTGTGAAATAAAATACTTTTCAAAATAAATATAGCCAAAATAGACTTCTAATTTATATGGTGCAGTTTTCACTAGATACTAAATTTAAGAATTCTTTTTATTATATTTATTGTTTCAAATAATTATAATACTTGTGTAGCTATATATAATTATCTCAATAAGATAAAAAAAATTAAAATTATATTACTTTTAAATATATGAAAATATTTCTTTTTTGAAACAAATTAAAAAGAAAAAATTATAACATAAAATTAGACCGAAAAAAATATTAACGGTGTTTCCTTTTTAATCTTATCAAACTAAGAAATAACATATGTTTTAATTTCTAAAAATGATCTAATCTTAAAATACTGTTTCGTTTCAAAATAAATGTCATTTTAGCTTTAAAAAAATAAAATAATTGTATTAAGGAGTGTCACTTCAAAAATTCAAGTTTTTTCAACTATAAATTTTTTTCAATAAATATTTATTAAATAATAATAATTTAATAAATTAATATTTATTAAAATTTAAAATATAAATTATATTAAAGCAATGTTTATTTTGAGAAGGAAAGAATTGACATTGAATTAGCGTTACATAGTACGACTTTTTGATACACACCACTAATATAAAAGTCCATTCATTTTTTATGAGTGAGAAAAATGAAAAGATATGTGTACCTTAACTTTCATTATCACTCAATTAAAAGTGTAACTTAATATTAATATACTTATATGGAGTTTTAAATTTTGTGCTAGACAAAGCTCTTTTACATAAAGTGAAATGACCGAAATATGTAACTTTTATTTTAAAATTTTAATTCACTCGATTAAAGTTAAAAAGATGAATAGCAAATATTCATCATTAATATATTTGGAAAAGAAATGAGAATCAGATGTGATTGATCATATAAACATCCTTAAAATTAAACAGAAAATCAACTTTTTTTTCTACGAAAAAGTTTTGAATATATGTTATATACATGGAAATTTTGTAGGATTCTTTAAACGAGTTCTATTTCAATTAGAGTTCTTAGAGACGCCTCTATCCTAAATCCTAACTCATATCTATATAAAATGAAAATTTCGTAAATTCATGAAATATTAATAAAAAGATCAAGATGTAACCAAATACTACACATTATTATGAATGAAATATTCTTATTCCGTCATATATTTTTTGTGATTGCAATTTATCTTTCTGTCATATTTAAAATTCGTTGCAAACATATATGATATACTCTTCCACCAACTATTTTACAAATTAGATGTATAGTATATATATTTTTAATATACATTTTTGTACATATTTTATAGGATAAATGACCAAATAATTCAAATCCGTAATAATCCATACTAAGATTGAAACTTTGTTTTTCATCTAAGATCAATTTTTATCTTTTCAAAAGAAAAATATTTTTATAAATCATGGGTTTGGACAGCACAATAATTCTTGAATTAAAATATTAAATGAACCCATCAAATATTAATTTTGATTTGACATAGTAATATAAATGGAGAAATAGTTCATGATTTGATTGTTAAATAGTAAAACTTGTGGTTCGTGGAGAATTTCCATTTTCAATTAATCATCTCATTAAGACAATCCAAATGTCGATTCTACTTGGCCTTAATTATCAACCTGCTGGTTTGTTGCAAAAGTAGAAAATATCGTATTTGTAATGAAGTTTCCAAAGAAAATGAATGATCACACTAATAATAATTACATTGGGACACTTAAGCAGTAAAAGGGTCATTAAGAAATCAAGTCATTCAATAATATTTGATAACCAGAAGTATCTGATTATAAAGTTGTCAAAAAAAGCCAGCCCAGTCCCATCCGGTCCAAACCTCGCAGGCACAAAAAATTTGATTGGTAATGGCGGGCCGGGAAGGGCCTGAAAATGCTCAACCCAACCTTACCCTAGAAGGGTCGAGGGCTGGGGCGGGCTAGTCCTTTTTTTAATTTTTATTTTATTTTATTCTTTTTAGACTTAAAATTCTATAACATCAAGAAAATGAGAAGATTTTCAAATAAAATATGACAAACAATGATGTTGTTTCAATAACACTAGCAAAACATCTAGTGTAATTAGCATGTATTTAGGATACTAGATACGCGGAATACATGTATCTGGTGTGATGCATCCAGATATGCGAGCGAGATTAGAGAGTGACAAGTGAGATGGGAGGGAGGCGAGGGCACTACTAGCTTTCTCTATGTATCCTAGATACATGTGAATCCACTTGATTAAAGTATATCTAGAACAAATTAATCTAATTTTGAGTCCACATATCTTGAGATACATGTATTCAGACGTATCAAATTATGGTAAGAATCGTAATATTACAACATAGCATGCATTTAAGCAATTAGCTCATATACTAGTGAGATTGTTGTAAGTTACCCTTAAATAAATAGTTTTGGCCCATGGGCTGACCCCGGTCCGACCCCAATCAAACCTCAAGAGCCAAGGGCTTATATGGGTCGGACTTATAAACCCTAATTTTAAATGGATTTAAAAAAAATCCTATCCCAACCCCAACATCGGATTGGATTGGCTCGGTCCCATGAGCTAAACTTTGACGACTCTATCTAATTATAATCTTTTTCAAACTCTTGTTGAGTATAACTGAAGTTCGCCAATCTTAGCTGTAAATATGGTTTAAGTATTCTATAAATAAAAATATATAACCTAATTATCTACGTTTAAAAATTTATAAATTTATAAATTTATAAAATTCAAATTCTAAATCCGCTCGTTAAATTATTAAGTATTTTTAGGAGTGGGGAAGAACAGCTTAGTCAGTAGTATCCCATGAAATGGGCCCATAAATGTGCCATTATTAGAAGGGAGATTCAATGGGTATTTGGTGAAATAGTCCCACTCAATGAATTCGTTTGTCCCCCTCATCAAAATCTTAACCACACAATTTCATATTCCACTTTTTTACATTATTAAATTATTTGTCTGATATTAATTTGATATGAAATATGATAAAAATAAAATTTTATGGTTATAAATTAAAGATATATAAAACGTATTAAAAAAATATTAGGTAGAAAGTTAAAAATAAAATTTAAAAGTTATCCAAAAAAGGAAAATAACATTTTTTTTGAAAATGACTAAAAACAAAGTAGGACAAATAAATTGAACTACTTACTTTTTTTTCTTACTTTTTATTGCTTTTTTATTCTCCTTTTACATAAGAGTAATGTAAATACTACATCAAAAATGACCTTTAACAGAAAATAACTAACGATAATAGTTTAATTGTCGTTAAAGATGTTTTTTTGGAGGCGATTAATTAAACTACTTGCTTTTTTTTCTTATTTTTTGATGCTTTTTTATTCTCCTTTTACATAATAGTAATGTAAAGGAAAAATCACACCATATACACATTTAAGGGTCAATATTACAAGTTTTAAACACATTCTTAAAATATTCTTACTTATAACAGTTTATTTACGGGTTATAACATATTACTTAAATTTAACTTTATTTAAAAATTAATTACAGGTTTATTTAAAAATAATTAATCTCTTTATATTTTTATATTATTAATTATTAATAGCTAGCTAATATAATTTCAGTTCCTTTTTTAAAATCGAAATCATCAGTTACACGAATTTAGGGATTTTACATTGATTAGACTTCCCTTTTTACCGTTACACTCCAATTAATTTTATTTAAAAATCAATTTCCATTTATTTAATAAATGATTAATCTATTTATGGTTTATTATTATTAATTAATAATATGTAATTAAATTGATTTCTGTTCCTTTTTTAAATCTGAAATTATCAGTTACATAGATATAGGGATTCACCTACAACAAGTTTCCTTCTTTACCGTTATCACCTCCCATACGTCAATCCCTCCCCCCTCCCCCCTCCCCCCACACTCATCCAGTTCTACATGCCATTAACACACTAGCCCAATTTTACCTTCATCTATCACATCTTTCTCACCACCAAACTACACTAACTTTACAATCCTCCATTCAATTTAGTTTTTTCAACAAAACCATGTCGAAGAAAATGGTTGTAACTCCTCGAAAGATCCCTCGATTAGTCGAAGGAACTTCTACGGATGAAGTTCATGCTCCATCTTTCAACATTTTGACTCAAACACCGCTGCCAAACATTGTTGAAACTCCGGCTAGGGGTAATTCATCTCTATTGAAAGATCAAAAACAGAAAAAAAAATGACTCAAATAAAAGGGTGAGTCCGATAAATCGAAAGGGGAAGAAGAGGAAGGGGAAAAATGTTGAAACCCCTTTTGATTCTGATTCTGATTCTGATTTTGTTACTGAATCAAAAAAAGAAAAAAAGAAAAAAATAATGAATGTTGAAGTTGCTCAGTCGTCAAAACCATCTACAAGAAGATCCAAAAAAAAAGAAGGAATCAGAAGTCCCAACACCTAAAAAAGACAAAAAAAATTGTTAGGGTAAATATTATATTCAATTTATTTTCACATTATTAAAACTACTGATTTTTTCCTAAAAATATCACATTAT